GCAAAGCCCCTGGTGAGCAGGTCTGTTTTATCTAGTCCGTATCCTATCAACTTTTGTGTACTAACCTCTGGCTTGTATCTCTATCTGCTGCTTGCCCTGCTCTCTGGCTTGTATCCTGGTTATCTCTGCCCCGCTGCCTGCACTGACCTTCAGCTTGTATCCTAGTTATCTATGTCCACGGTGTGTCCTGGCTTTTGGCTTTTATCCTCATTATTAGACATGTAAGCTGCGGAAAAATTTGGTTTGGATATTTCGGGATGCGGATCCGAAATTCAATTCGGTTCGGGTTTCGGATTTAGACGAAAATCGAATTTTGTTAGTTTCGGATAAGTTTACGTACGAATATTCATTGCGACTACCACAGAAAACCATATACAGATATTAATACAAAAGCTGAATCTATTACACTCGAATAGCATTCGGAATCCGAATTACCAAAATGCATTTGGGAGCTCCCGAATGCCATTCGGGTCTGGGAGCCATTTACATATATTACTAAAGCGGAGGCTCCTAGACCTAAATGGCATTCGGGAGCTCCCCAATGCAATGTGGAAATTTGGATCCCGAATGCCATTTGGGTCTAGAAGTTTAAACTTTAGTATTATATGTATACTGTATATTGTATATGGCACCCATGTTGGCGTAACGAAAATTTGTGTTCAGACCCATGCTGATGCATTAAACCGAAAAAACACATCTGATTGGCCAGAAAGGTCATATTCAGTTTCGTTTTTGAACGAAATTCGAAAATGGAAATTCGGATTCGAACACATTCGGATGCATTGGGATTCGGAAATTCGGATGTGTCCGAATGTTTGAAAATTTTTCCGAATTTTGATTCATAATGAAACAAATCACACATGTCTACTGGTTATCTGTGTCTGCTGCCTGCCCTGATCTTTGGCTTGTATCCCGACCTATCGTGTCCATTGCCTGCCCTAACCTTTGGCCACTGCCCTGCTTGTTCTGGCCCACAGTCCTGCCATCTGCTCCAGTTCATCACTACCTGGTGTGCGCCTGATCCATGTGCTCTTTAATCTGTGGTGCCTAGAGAAGGGTGAACACAGGGGTCATGAGTCCAAACCCTTGTAAGCCTGGTGAACAATGTCTGGCCCTTAGACTTTCCGCCTTGAGGTATCCTTCATCACCTGCTTTCATGTGGGTCCATTCTTCAGCACTTTGATGTGACATAAACCCAACGAGGTCAGCATACTGCATTTTCAGATACCAGCTCCTCATCACTGTGCTCCATTCCCAGAAGAACCTGCTGTAGGCCTACATCTCTCAGGTGTACCTACCATCTCCTGTGTGGTATCCTGTGCACTTTAGTTAAGGGGCCCACACCTGTAGGACACAATAAACTCCTGTTCGTACATATAAGACCCACAAGTGCCCCTACTACTTTCTTTGTATCTATACTTATCTATTAATAGCTGTTTGCCTGGAAATCAGCTTTAAGTTGGCCCAGTTTTAGTTCTTAGGAGAGATGTGCATTAAATCCTGGGTAGCATTTTCTGCAGTTGTGGTTTAACAAAACCAAGTCATAGATGACTCACGGACAATGGGCATTCATGACACGTCTATCTATAAGTAGGTACCATAAGCAATGATTCTATTAACTGTCAACAAGATTGAAGGTCAATGTTTTTTTCATGTGACCTGTACATTGTAACATACTTAACTTGTGTCATTGAAAACCCAGCAGAATACCGTACAGGTAAAATTGTACTCTACTGTCACATTTTACATCAACATGTCAAGTGTTATGTGACCCTATAAGCAGAATGAGTCACTGTAGCAGTGAGTAATCCTCTTATAGTCTGATATCCTTATAGTAACTCTGATTGATATTCCAGAAGGATGGGTAATGCAGACATTTATTAATTTAAAATCATTTTTTTATTAACTCTTATAGAAGCCGGGTTCAAACCAATTAAATGAAAGACTCATAATGCAATTGCAATGTATGTGTACTCATAATTGAGAAAGGTTTTTATGCTGAGTCTCAGATGTCTTGTACCTCTCAGTACTTCACTAAAGCCCAATTAGATTTCCAGGTTGAATCAGCTTCATACTTTCCAGGTGTATCAACGCAAAAGATGTTCAAAGTCTAAAGCTGCCCATACACCTTGCGATCATCGGACTAAACTTTTCGTCCGATGATCGAACCGTCGTACGATATTCGTACGGCGGCCCCATCCTGCCCTGATTATCGCAAGGTTCAATCAGCAGTATTTAAAACAAACAACTGGACGAATCGCGGTAATCGCCTGCACATATTTTCGTTTGCGCATGAGCAGTGTTAATCGTACGAATTTTGACGTACGGAAATGCCACCAACCTTGCGAAAATCGGGTGGAACAAGAGCGATTTGAGGTGAGCACCATAAGGGCCTGTCTACAAATTGAGATTTAATATCCTATATATTCCTCTGTAACTTCATCAATGTGCAGTTTAAAAAAAAAAACTGTGATCTCTCTGCGGTGGTCCAACACGCCCTTTGCTGAGTCACAACTAGCGCTGTCCAATCAGCAAAGCGCACACTCCCTGCTCATTGGAGAAAGTGACTCACGGGAGGCGTGTCAGACTGCTGTAGAGAGACACAAGGCTCAATTCATGAACCTTTACACAAAGATAAGTATCTTTATTTTCAGCCATGTGACAGTCGCTCTCAATTCTCATTGGACACGGCTAGAAATAACTTACTTATACGTGTTTTTAAGCTGCCCATACACCTTGCGATCATCGGATGAAACTTTTCGTCCGATGATCGAACCCTCGTACGGTTTTCGTACGGCGGCCCCATCCTGCCCCCGATTATCGCAAGGTTCAATTAGCAGTAATTTAAAAAAAAACACCTAGACGTATTGCGGTAATCGCCTGCACGGATTTTCGTTTGCGCATGAGCGGTGTTAATCGTACGAATTTTGAACGCCACCAACCTTGCGAAAATCGTACAATCGATCGAAGTTTTCTAACCTGCTGGATAGTCAAAAGTCGATGGATTGTACAGTATTTGAGGTTGTACACTGCCCATCAACCTTACGAATATCGGACGAAAACGCGATTGCATACGCAAGTCGGCCGATATTGGTAAGGTGTATGGGCACCTTTATAGTTAATTTTCTTTAGACAGCGGCCACAGCCTGAGTAGAAAAGCCTGTGCCTTGCCAGCAGCTGCATAGCAGAACCCTTGCTCTCTGTGTGGAAGCAGCAGCCTCTCTGCAGAGGTTTGACACACCCCTGTGGCTCTGCAAACGGCAAAGTTCTTGCTCTCTGCTGATTGGAGAGCTCTGGTTCCAAAGGTGGCATTGTCTGACCTCTGCAAAGAGACCACTGCTTCATCAGAGAGAACAAGGGTCCTTGTATGCTGGCAGGGGACATGGTATGGCTGCTGTATAAAGAAAAAAGTACCATAACACTTGATGCACCTGGAATGTACTTAGAAATTTAAACTAAAAGTTTAGTTGGACTTTAATAGGATAGTCGCCCCCTATGACTATGGACTTGTTCCCCCTTGTATTACAAAGGTGCCATTACCATATGACAAAACGTAATACCTCTCTAAAAGCAATAAGAGGTATATGACTGGAAAACATGCACTTGCCTTCCGCAGCCTCCATGAATTCTGCTGCCCCCGGACCACAGCCTATGCTTGCCACTAACAACCACTCACGTCTGTCTTTTTTTTCTAACCAGCAGAAAATACCATTTGGATTCTGGTTGCTATAGGCAACAGCCCAATTTTTCACTTTTGCAGCTCCATTGCTTTAGATTTTTATTTCAACTAGTGACCAGGCAGAGACCCATAATGCCTTGGCGCTTCTTTTGTTCCCCCTTTGCTGAAAAACCATCTTTATATAACGGTGGCGAGATTAAGAGGGTACACTAGTGTTCATGTCACCGTTGCCATGGTGACCGCATAGTCCTCTTCTTGCTGGTTCGTGGAAAGGGATTCTTTTTTTAAATATTATTTGCAGTTGGATTTACAGTAATCTCTAGTAATTATGGGCACTGCAGGGAATATATAGATCTATATCAGTATATTCATCCTGTTTAAACAAAGCTGAGATTACCGTATATGAAATATGCATGTGCTGGGTGTCTAATTCATTGTCGCATAAACTTTATTCTTACATCTACAATTATGCTTTTAAAGAAAGCTTTAAGAAGTCATAAGAATACAGAGGAAGCCCATTGATGACCTTTTAAAAATGCTAGTTCTCTGGCTGTCTCTGACTCTGTACGTTTTGGGTCATTGACTTGAACAACTACTATCTAGTACTCTCACCCACTTAGTATGTATTGGATTGAGAAGAAGCCTATGGCTTCAGTCTTACCCAAGACCCATGAAAGCTTTCACTCCCCATTGATCCATGGTCTGTAAATATTTTCTTTTCTCCCAAACGTCATACGTGAAATGTAGGCCCAGCTCCTAAAGTGGAAATATACTCAAAAAGTGAATATCTGCTATTTTATAGGGCCTTGGTTCTCAACTGGTGGGTGGTGACCCAAAAGTGGGTCGCGACCCCGTGTTCAGTGGATCGCGGCACGCTTTCCACTTTTCTAGGCGAGAGACTCCTCAGCGTCCCCCTAGCGCAGCACTCTCAGTTCTCGTGCTAGGCAGCCATTCAAAGTATGTTGCCCGGCCTGGTGTATCAGCTTGAGGTGGGGTGGGGGTATGGCTATGAGGGAGCTCCATCCATACATGCATTGCTTACAGCTCCCACATGTGCCCTGTAGAGGTGCCTGGACCGGAGTGACGTCACATTCTGGCTCTCGGCACCTCTACAGGGCGCGCAAGGGAGCTGTACTAGCAATGGTACAGGTCCTCTTTAAGAGAGCACTTGCCTAGACACAAATTTTTTTGACATATCAACATTTCTCACATGGCAACAAATAAAGTTTTTTACATTACTGGGAAACTACGGACATTTCAATATCTTGCAGACATAATGAAACAGCTTTTGTGCCTATATGAATTAGCTGGCAGGTCTCACCTCAGCTTGTAGTCAGCGTATCCTTTCTGATTGGCCCTCAATTTTGATAGTATCATCTTCAAGATCCTCATAAAGATCAGGAGGTTGATCTGAGAAGGAAACAGAAAATCTTGATAAATTACAATGTTATAAGGAAAACTGGACCATTAAAACGTATAGAGGGGAATTTATCAAACCTGGAGCAGACAGAATCTAGAGCAGTTGTCTAAAGCAACCAATAAGCTTCTCTCTTTCATTTTCAAAGCTTAACTGAAAAAACTGAAGAGAGGAGGTGATTGGTTGCCAGAAGCAACTGCTCTAGACTCTGCTCCAGTTTTGATAAGTTCCCCCCCGTTGTCCATTTGCTTGCACAGACACCTGAGTTGTCACCATTATGTAGGAAACCTAAACCTTCCACATGATGCTCACCTGGTCTCCACCATAACGACCTATTATACCAGCAAAAGGGCCATCATACAACAACATGCAAAACTCTTCCTTTAATAAAATAGCCAACAGGAACCAGTTCAGAACTGGCGCATTTCGTGCTAGGCACATCGCTTTCTCAAAAGATGACAAAACCACAACTACCTCATACCATTAGATAGAAATCTCTCTCCCCCCCCTCTCTCTCTCCCTCCCTTCTAGACATGTAAGCTGCAGAAAAATTGGATTCGGTTCGGATATTTAGTTATTTCGGAATTCAGGATTCGGATCCGAAATTCAATTCGGTTCGGGTTTCAGATTCGGAAGAAATACGAATTGTCGTTAGTTTTGGATGAGTTTACGAATATTGGTTGCAAGTAAAACAGAAAACCATATACAGATATTAATACAAAAGCTGAATCTCCTAGACCCGAATGGCATTCGGGATCCGAATTTTCGAATTGCATTGGGGAGACGTTCAGATCGATTCGAATGCATTAAACCGAAAAACACATCTGATTGGCCAGAAAAGTCACATGTCCGATTTAGTTTCGTTTTTGAACGAAATGTGGACAGGATACGAAATTCGGAAACGGAAATTCGGATTCGGACACATTCGGATGCATTGGGATTCGGAAATTCGGATGTGTCCGAATGTCGTAAAATTTGTATGAATTTTGATTTTTGATTTTTGAATCGCACATGTCTGTCTCTCTCCAAGAGCCCCTGCCCATAGACAACATTTGCAATAAAAATTTTATTATAACAAAGAATTAAATTGATAAAACAGTAAAATGTAATAATAATAAAATTACACTAACACATGCAATTACCCATAGCACACCATCTAGTGGCAGAGCTGACTAACTACAACCTGCTACAATTTCCATTATTAGACAAGCACACATAATTTTAAGTGTTCTTTTGCGCATTGTTTCTTTTATCTCTTTGATTCGTCTCGGACATCAATTCCTATCTATCCTAATTAATAGCAATGTTGAAAGCTCTATTCAAAACATCATCTGTATAACCTCTTTCATTAAACCATTGCCATAGCTCGCCTACAGACAGGGATTTTCAAGAGGCTGCAGATGAACTATGGCTACGAAATAGAGCTTCTATAGATTGATATTTTGAATAGAGCTTTTGGCATAGCTATCAATAAGGATGGACTGGAATTGATGACAGGAGAGCAATCAAAAAGATAAAAGAAACGACGATCAGATAATATTTGTTACTAAATAGAGTCTTGACTATACGAATATACTCGAGAATGTAAAAAGAATGATGCAAATGTACTGGAATGTATTACAAGGGAATCCTTGTAAATACACACACTATATTACCAAAAGTATTGGGACACCCCTCCAAATCATTGGATTCAGGTGTTCCGTGACATTTCCTTGCTACTAAATATTCCACGGTCACCTGTTACTGGTATTATAACAAAGTGGAAGCAATTGGGAACAACAGCAACTCAGCCACAAAGTGGTAGGCCACGTAAAATGACAGAAAGGGGTCAGCGCATGCTGAAGCGCACAGTGCGCAGAAGTCGCCAACTGTCTGCAGAGTCAATAGCTACAGACCTCCAAACTCCGTGTGGCCCTCAGACTTCCATGGCCAAGCAGCTGCACCCAAGCCTTACATCACCAAGTGCAATGCAAGGCGTCGGATGCCGTGGTGTTAAGCACGCCGCCACTGTGTGGAGACGTGGAGGGGGGATTATGGTGTGGGATTGTTTTTCAGGGGTTGGGCTTGGCCCCTTAGTTCCAGTGAAGGCAACTCTTAAGGCATCAGCATACCAAGACAATTTGGACAATTTCATGCTCCCAAATTTGTGGAAACAGTTTGGGGATGGCCCCTTCCTGTTCCAATATGACTGCGCACCAGTGCACAAAGCAAGGTCCATAGAGACATGGATGAGCAAGTTTGGGGTGGAAGAACTTCACTGTCCTGCACAGAGTCCTGACCTCAACCCAATAGAACACCTTTGGGATGAATTAGAGCAGAGACTGTGAGCCCGGCCTTCTCGTCCAACATCAGTACCTGACCTCACAAATGGTCAAACATTCCCATAGACACACTTCCAAACCTTGTGGACGCCTTCCCAGAAGAGTTGAAGCTGTTATAGCTGCAAAGGGCGGGCCAACTCAATACTGAACCCTACGGATTGGGATGCCATTAAAGTTCATGTGCGTGTAAAGGCAGGCGTCCCAATACTTTTGGTAATATAGTGTATATATATATATACAGTATATCTATATCTAGATATATATATACACACGCATACGCACGCACACACACATATCATTACTGTGTAATTGGGTTAAATATGTTTCAACAGTGAAGAGGTTAATGACTATGTGAGGTTAATTAATGTTTCTATATAATTATGTGTGGGTAGTTGTTTTCTCATTCTTTGTGAAAGCGATATGCCTAGAACTTGGGCTATTTAAATAAAAGAAGCATCTCATTGTGCAGTTCTCATGCTGCTGGTGTAATTGATGTATAACAACCAGTTACAGGCTTAGCCTAGCCACATCCGTAATGCTATTTGATTTCCTGATGGCAGGGGCAGTGACCTGCCATCAAATAGTCTTTTCATTGGTGGACTCTTAGATGCAACAAGGAACAGAGCGTTTAGTTCAAATAAGACTGGATTTTCCACCAAAACAAATGGTTTCTTTTCAAAGAAAATCATCATTTGTTATCTAAATCCCCTATTGAGTGCTACGGATTTCTGACAAATACAATTTTCTTCCAGCAAAATGATCCAATATCGAATGATCACATTCATTAAAAAGGGTGCACCAAGTGATGAAGGTACACATGTAGTAACCTACAACCAGAGCCGGATTTACTCTGTGCTGCCCCAAGGCCAGGTTCCTCAATGCGCCCCCCTAACCACCACTCCCCCCTCCCCAATGGAGAATGGCAGACCTGCAGGCTGCATACAAGTGATCTCGGCGGCATCGCCAAGGTCACTTGTGCAAAACAAGCGGCGGCTTCCCCGCTGTACATTTAGCTCTGCTTGCCCAAAGCAGGGCTAAATGTAGAAAACAACTACACGCCCGACACCCGGAACTTCATGTCCCAGCCCAGGCATCATGAGATAGGAATTCCACACCTCGGCTGCCCCTCTACTCCCTGCTGCCCGAGGCCAGGCCTTGGTTGGCCTTGTGGGAAATCCGGCCCTGGGTGCACCAACTGATGAAAGTACATGTGTAGTAACCTACAGCACAAGCAGGATTCACCTTCATGACTGTTTAGAGCAGTCAATTTGCACATTTCTCTTTGCCTTATTTAAAGAATCCTGATAGCACTTAGTTGTTAAAAACAAAAAAACAAAAAAAACAAATATAGATGGTATGGGTTAAATATCATCAAAGAAAAGCAAGCAGTTGAACAAAAACTTTCTTTATCATTGTACAAATGTTCCCACTCATCACATCAGATTTGTGAAGTATAATAATTCATGAGTATCTGTAGTAAATGTGACCAGCTCACCACAGAAGCCAGCAGAATGGGGATGCGAATTATCCACCAATATGCCATGTTGTCATTAAGGGCCCAGCATCTGAAAAATAAACAGTTCAACTAATCAGAGTACTTCGAACAAATGGTAGCCTATGACCTATCTTACAATGGTGGCTTTGGTGTGCAGACTACTGCTAATCTATGGCTAATGGTGACCTATGCATGTGGTCTAGCTGGGGAATATGGTGCATGATGTAATAGTGGTGTATAATCTAGATTCAACGCTTCCCTATTGTCAAGTGGTGCCATGTAGTCTTTGAGCTAACATTGGTCTATGAGCTAATATTGACCTATGGTCTGATGGTGGCCTATGGTCCATGGTCTGATGATGACATGTGGTCTATGATCTTCTGATGACAATAGTCCATGTTCTCTGACTGTAGCCTATAGTTGAATAGTGTCCTGTAGTCTTAGGTCTGATGGTGACCCATAGTTTATGGTGTGGTGATAGTCTTGAGTCTATGGTCTGATGATGGGCTTGAGTCTATTGTCTGGCTTGAGTCTATGGTCTGATGATGGGCTTGAGTCTATGGTCTGGCTTAAGTCAATGGTCTGATGATGGGCTTGAGTCTATGGTCTGGTGAGTCTGTGAGTCTATGGTCTGATGATGGGCTTGAGTCTATGGTCTGGTGAGTCTATGGTCTGATGATGGGCTTGAGTCTATGGTCTGGTTTGAGTCTATGGTCTGGTGAGTCTATGGTCTGATGATGGGCTTGAGTCTATGGTCTGGTGAGTCTATGGTCTGATGATGGGCTTGAGTCTATGGTCTGGTTTGAGTCTATGGTCTGATGATGGGCTTGAGTCTATGGTCCATAGTCTATGATATGATGGTGGCCTATAGTCTATAGTATGATGGTGGATTATAGCCTGTGTTCTGTTGGTGACCTATAATCTATGGTCTAAAGCCATGTCACATCAGGAACTTTGGAGAGAGATTTGGGAGAGCTACAAATCTTTGCTTTTGTATGTAGCAAAAACTGCAATCAAATCTTTCCTACCAACAAAACTCTAAAGGGAGGAATTCAATAGCTGCTATCAATTCACTGCCAAAACACTCATACAATATGGCCATTATGGTGTGAACTTTGGTCTTTGATCTGCCAGTGGCCTAATCTATTATCTAATTGTCATCTATGGGCTTATGTACCTCCACTGCAGTTAAATAAGTAGAGAACAGTATCAGGGTAATGAATCAAATCTTATATGAAACTAATAAATAATCTTGGCATCATTATACTGTGTTGGATGTATTTTCATAAAGGATAAAGGAGTTTTATCTTACTCTTTGTTCTCCTTGAGATATTTCAGTGTCATCCAGGGAACAACAAACAGCACCGGAGTTCCTGCCGAGAAGATGAAACAATCAATCAATTTTTGTTAAACTGTATCTAAGCCCAAGAGCTAAAATGTAATAAATTGCAGCTTAACAGTCCTTAGATGTGGTGGCTGATTTCTTTTATGTTTAACTTTTTTTTACTTGGAGATCCTGGCAGTGACAAACTTCCTTTCCTAGGATGACAATGCTCAGCCATCAGTCATCATACTGTTTCTATTAAGAAGTGGCATTGTCACCCTAGGACAGGAAGTGTGTTAAGACTACAGAACATGTCCTCATCTCCTCATCTTCATAACATAGGAGGAGGTGCTTGATATAGAAGTTACAAGCTCAAAGAATTTCTGGCATGATCAACAGGTATTTATTGTACTTGTCAAACAGAAGTAACAAAACAATATTAATGGTATATTTACAAAAACCAAAAGAGACAAAATAGGAGAAGATTATTATTATTAGGGTTTACGTACACTTTCAGGTACCCATAGACACAGAAAAGGTGCTTCCTGATTGGGTTAGTTATGGCCAGATCATTGAACAATCTTATATCAACACTCTGTGACTTCTCCAAACACCCCTTTGGCCAACAGATCTCAAGGGTAGAGCGGGTTGGCTTTTTTCAGCCACCTACCATTACATTACACAATCACAAGCCTCCTGCAGGGGGCTCCCCTACTTCTATATCAATAGACATACATGCTCAGATAATCTAAGAGTACATGTTTAATTTTATCTATAGTTAACTTATATACTTCCCAATTTGGTGGGGAAGAATGGTCTTGTCCCTATCATTCATGGTCATCGTATTTATCAACTTACCCCATCCAAGGTACAGGTACAATGTGTAATTGTTCTTCTCGGAAAACACAGCACCAATCAGCAGTTTATATAGGTAGACCGCCTCTACCACAAACCAATAGTGATTTGCCAGAATACAGTACTGCATTATCACTTGTGCTGTACGACATCCAACCGCAGCCTGTAACAGTAACATTCTATCTTAAAGAGGAACTTTACCCATAATCTTTGAAATAACAAAAAACACACCTTTAGAAATGTTTAGTAATGACAATCTATAATCACATACTTCTAGATAATTGCCGGCATTTTATTCTTTGCATTCCTTATCTTTATTTTCTTACCCCAGTCTTCTCACAGTGGCCATTTTTACTAAGGGCAGATTAAAATATCTCCCTTTACTTCCTGGAACTCTAGCACATGTGACTTAGGACATGTGACCATGCATATCATCTCAGGGGAGGAAAATGCCTTTCCCTGAGATCTCATGAGATTACAGATGAGATTTCCCAGCAATGCTCTGATGATGTAACCTTCCCAGGATGCAATGCCTGGACACAATTACATCAATTGTACCAAAGTGGACCAGGAAAAATAAATTGTAAGTAAGATAAAAATATGTTTGCTTAACTAATGAATGTAAGATAATTTCATATCAGCATGCAGAGCTGCATGCTGATGTAATTTTTAGTCAAAGGGGGTAAAGGATGGCTTTAAGGTTAGTGGTCACGTACTGGGATTTAGCAGAAAGCCAAAGGAAAAATGTTAACTAATTTGTATGGAACACAAGTAATTATTCATCTTTTTTTTAATTAGAAGCAAGTCACCCTTTTCACTGGTTGTGGTTGGCCAACTAATACAGATGAGAAACAGCTGAAGACGCCATTACCGAAACAATTTAGAAACAAGATTTATCCTTTGGTTTTAGAATAGTGAGCGCTATGGGTCTCCTGGAGTGAAGTGAGAATCCAACAATGACTTATTAAATAAGTGGTATAAAAATATATATAAATATCTCTAAGTGAACATCTTATAATGTGAAATAAAGATTGCTAAAGTGATATGTGAATAAACAAAACAAAAATCAACAATGTAAATCGATCATTTTGTGAGGCTTATCTGGCCTTAGTTTCAGCAGCTTGCGGTTAACCCTTACTCTCTGTGAAATCTCCCCCTTGGGGTCTGTTTCATAGCGCAGAACACTCAACCTTTCAAGATTTATCCTTTAACCAGTTGACATCCGCGGTGTTAAACCCCCTTCCCATCATTTCTGCCCGTGCGTGCCCGCTAGGGGGCGCGCGCGAGCAGAAAAAAAATGCCGTCTGGCGACGGCAACCCGCCAATGCGACAGTGCCGTCCGTCCGTTTTTCTACTACGGGCGGACGGCAACTGGTTAAAAGGCAAACCAACTGGAATACAATCATATTTCCAGCTGTTTGTTGCATTTTCTCAGAAAACATCAATAAATACAATTCTAGGTAGAAATATAGAATCAGTATGAGTGAATGGGGTTGATTTACTAACCTTATAAACACACCACGAACGTGTATACACCTCTGCAGTGTGTTCCCTCCCAGCATGATCTATGGGTGGAATCTAAACACCTTTGTAGTGTGTACACACCCAGAAGGTGTGTTGTGCAAAGCCAAGCATTGAATTGCAAGGTGATGTTGTGTAAATTAGCTCTATGTTGTGTTGCTTGCGCTGATGAATGCAAGGAATGTAAATGCATGAGCTAACCATTTTTGTCTAAACTGTGAAGCAGCATTATATATGCATCATGTGCATGATTTTTCCATATATGGAATTAGTGGAAATATGCTTTTAGAGACTTTTTGGTTGATAAATACATTTTGCTGTGTGAAAATCACACGCACCTGGTGCCTGCGTGTGTTTAGGTTAGTAAATCACCCCCAATATGTCTGTGAGGGTTCTCATTTATCAAGGTCATGGTATAGTTATTAGCAGTTAGTCACACTCAACTGGATTTGTTCTTTAATTTTGAATTACAATATAGGAGCACCAAATGTGATCTGTAGTCATGACTTTTTGTAGTTTTGTCCTTTTAGCTGTCAGTGCATTTCAGGGGTCTTAACATGCCCCCATCTTCAGGAAAAAGGTGATCAGGAAAACACTGCTGCAGTTCAGACATACCCTATATTTATCACTAGGGATGCACCGATACCGATACTAGTATCAGTATCGGTGCCGATGCCAAGTATTTGGATGAGTACTCATACTCGCCCAAATGCTCAGATGCCTAGCCCGATACTTGAGCTTCCGGTATCAGGAATCCAGAAAGCAATTCATTACACGCTGCCCGCCTTCCTGATTGGCTGGGAAGCCGGCTCCATGCTCCCTCGTCATTTTGTCTGGAAGCTGGCCAATCAGGAAGGCGGGCGCCGTGTAATGACACGGCGTCCGGCTTTCTGATTGGCCGGGAAGCCGACTTCATGCTCACTCATCACGCGCTGCGCGGCTTCCTGATTATCCAGAAAGCCGACTCCGTGCTTTCTCGTCACCTGGTGATGAGAAGCATGGAGACGGCTTCCCTGCTAATCGGGAAGCCGGGTGGCGAGTTATTACACGCTGCCTGGCTTCCTTAATAAGAATTCCGGTATCGGTATTCGGTATTGGCGAGTACCGGAAAAAAAAATCTGATGCGTCCCTAATCATCACCAATCCCAAACTAAACCAATACCCTCTCAACCACAACTGTATAGAATCAATATGGCAGAGTAGACAAAGACAAGTCCATTTATAATGTTCACCTATCATCTGGAATACCTGACAGTACGTTATGGAAATTTTAAACATTGGGGAGGAGAAACATTGAGGAGGAGAAAGTGACGCTAACCTTGTTGCTGACCATGACCTCCCAGTCGGACACATCGATGATCTGCATACCCCATCTCTTCTCCTGCAAAATGTCCTTCACAATGACTGAGATTCCACGTAGTGCAAAGGAGAAGAACAGGTTGGCGTGGATGTAATTCCGCGTGCAGCGTAACTTCCTGGTGACATATCAGGAATCAAGAAAAATTGTAAGTAAATCCATCAGAGCTGTTTTAGAAATGGGGTCGAAGACATTTACTCAGGACCCACCAGCACAAAGCTTTTACCAGCTGCGCCCAGCCTGTGGAAAGTATGACCAGTGAGAAGCGGAGACACTTACCTACACATTGTGAGGATCATCAGTGATGACAGGAGCGCCAGCAAAGACACAGAATACCCCACGGTGTACAGGGCTCTAAAACTGAGTAACAAGTCCCTTGTCACCTCCTACAAAACAGAGACAATTTTTTTCAGGTTGAATGTATTTTGATGTAATACTGCATTATGTCCACTAGATGTAGCATAGGAAAAAAGTTTTAATTTCCTATGCTCTTCAGCTCCATCTAGTGACCATAATGCAGTATTACATCACAATACATTCAACCTGAAAATAAACTTTATCAAGAATGTTTGTTTTTTGCCATTATTCACACAAAACTAACGTTTACAGATATTCGCAAGGCAAATGAATTGTTTATAAAAGCACCCAGTATATTTGAAGCACAAATGTAATACATCTAACATGTGCTCTTCAGTTATGTTGCATAATAACAAGTTAAAAATAAGTAAGTCAGTAACATTTTTCAAACTCCAGGTCAACTTGGGTTTGGGAAAACAGAATTGAATGATCTTCTAAGATTGTCTTAAAGAATCATTACTGCATTCCATATGGGCTGGAATATTTCCAAGATGCTATTATACATTTAAATTAAATTCTAAACATAGTGATTTTTGCATAACAAGATTTCCGTGTCAAAATAGGAAAAAACAACAACTGGAAGACTTGTCTTTTTCTATAACTGGCACGTGCAAATTACTAATATATACATATATATATAAACTGGTGCTGAATTTGAATTGTAGATTATGGTACGGGCTATGGCAAAGGGAAACAATGAGACTTCTAAAATTCTCTCTCTCTCTCTCTCTCTCTCTCTCTCTCTCTCTCTCTCTGCTATTTATCTCTCCAATTTATGAAGATGAATACAAATTCTGCTGTTGTCTGCTAGAAATGAGCATTTGGATTCGCACAAACCTGCAAATCAATGAAAATCAGTTGATTCGGCGGTTCGTCCGAATCCGAAATAACGAATGTAATATGCCCGAATATACTAAAACGATATTCGGGCATACATAAATTAGTTTTCAGAACACGCCTGTGGCCATATTGGTGCCGGCGTGTTTTGCGCATGCCCACCGCCATCTTGGAGGCGGGGCGTATGACGTCACATGATGGTGATGTCCCACGCTGAGCGAGCAGAGGCCATATCGGCCGCCGCGGCGGTCTGTGCATGCATGCCGCCATTTTGGAGTAGATCTTGGTATACACCAAGATGGCGGCGTTCGGGGACTTCTGGTTCCGGCACCCTTGTGGCTCCTGCACCCGTGGCCATAAATCAAATAAAAAACCGGCAGAGCTGCCTACCAGAACCGCTAAAGGTGCCTGCTGTGAAGGTTCTCAGGGATGGATCAATTCCTGGCCGGTACGAAGTCCCGATCGCAGTCAGTACTGCGGCCCGGCGGAGAGGCTAAGTCCACATGTGGGGACAAAATGGCGGGCGCCATGATCTCATCACCTCAGTGGAGCCCCTCTCCCTCCTTTTCGCAGGAGGTGATTCCAGATGAAGGGGCATATGAAAAAATCGTGCTGGCGGTCGCTAATCTGCTTAAACCTACCATCACTTCACAGTCGAATCGGCCATGCAACAAGGCCTTTCACAAATACGCAAGATCGCGCCGTTCGGACATGCGGGCGCCGCCCTCTTGGTGTATACCAAGATCTACTCCAAAATGGCGGCATGCATTCGCAGAATGCCGCTGCTCGTTCTGCGGTCTCAGTGTGCGGTTTTGGATTCGGAGGCGTTTCGTCAGAAAACTAATTTCTTTGTTGTGCACATGTCTCATGTCTACTGTCAGCTCCCGATAGTGTTTCTAATAAGAAAACACAGCAGAAACTGCTTACTTGCAGACACGCTCTGTCTGATTGAAACTTAATTTTCTGAGTCTCTAAAGTATTTTATAAACTGTAAGCTTGTACTCGTCAATCAAGAAAGTCTACAAAGATCTAGATCAGTGGTTCTCAACCTTTCTAGGGTAGGGACCCCTTGGTAACATTTGCCAGGTTGTGGTGACCCCCCCAATGGTAAAATGTAGGAATGCACTAATACTAGTATCTGTGTGGGCTCTCAGGTGGCCAGTGTGGGCTCATGTGAGCTCAATGGGGCTCTCTGGCGGCCAGTGTGGGCTCTATGGTGGTTAAGCCTGCATTCAACTCCCCTCACTTTTGCCCGCTCCCCTCTCTTTGATCCCCCTTGGCTGCCAGTGCTGCAGCGCCATCTAGCGGCGCGGCCGGAGAACTGGCTGAGGAGCCTCTCACCTAGTGCAGCACAAAGCATGTGGTGACCCCCTCAACAGTGGGTTGTGACCCACTTTTGGGTCACGGCCCACAGGTTGAGAACCACTGATCTAGATCATTAGCCTCTGTAATATGTATAAGCAATTACATATCTTTATTTTATCTTTTTCATCTATCTATCTATCTATCTATCTATCTATCTATCTATCTATCTATCTATCTATCTCTCTACTCTATAAAAATGTATCAGTTCACTATAGTGTTTAAAACTTTGAAAGAATAAAAAAGTAATAAACTTTGATTGAAACTTCTAATTGAACCGTTTTAACATCCCAGATAGCAAGGATAACCTGCCACAAACTTGTGGCATGGTTAAATTGTAATTCTTTCTAACTTGCTGCACACATTCCCTGACAAGTTCTAGACTTGCAGAACACTTGCAACACAAGTTCTAGTTGACACTTTTTGAATTTGTAGCAAATTTGCTTGGCACGTCTACAGCAAGAATCATGCAGGTCTTAGAAAGAGCTCTGCAAGTGTACAACACTTTTGCAAAGCACGTTTATCTGGAGACTCGCAATGCGGACTTGCATTTGTTGTAATTGTACAACAAAATTGTGAAGCTTGGCAAGTCTAGCAATATTTTAGCAAGCAATTTTCAATCTTGCAGCTCAATTGCTTGCTATCTGGGATAGAAGGCATGGACATGGAGAGAGGGGGAGTCACTGCTCTGACTCATCACTTGTGTATTTAAATTTCAGCTTGAACTATTGAACTCTGTAAATAACAGGAATATATTTTCAACAAACATATAAGGATATCCTAAGGTTCCACCTACTGAATGGAAATTAAAGAATGCAATCATTCATATTTATTTGATTTATGAATTCTAATTTTATTTTCTAGTGCAAAAAAATCAAATAAAACAAAATCAATACAAGACCAAAACACATTCCCAATAATTATAAATAATTATTCAAGAACAATAATTGGAAGATTAGAAAATCACAGAAAAAAGATCAATAATTAGAAAAAATTATTCAAGAACAATAAATAGAAAATTAGAAAATCATAGGAAAAAAAAACAAAACAATAATTAGAAAATCACACAGTATTAAGTCACCTCATCTCTTGTCACCTCCATCTCATCGTCGCATTGTGATGAGTTCCTCCAAGGCTGCGTTCCATTGATCATCTCCCAATGGCCATCTAGACCACACCGTCTTGATACCAGTCCATTCTTTACTGCCAACACACACAGAATTGACTGGCTGAGTAAAAGCTGTGTCCTTAAAGACTGAGCAATGTATACATGTATTGCATTGTGATAAAACGGACCAGGAGTCACTGTCTGTCTTTATATTGGCCAATCGTTATAAGGGGGCTCCGGACATATTGATGCTTTAAGATTATTCTGAATGACAACACCCCTTTACAAAGCTTCATCTCTTGTATCATGCAATTGTCTTAAAGTCTACATAAAAGCAGAATCCCATTTGGATAGAATGGGGCAAGGTTAGTACCCCTGTCATGTTTTACTACTATCTGGGGCTTCGTTGTATCCAAGACAGGAAGTGGTAATGGCACACGTGCCCATGTCCGCAGGTAAAGGCAGAATGTGTGATTGCATGCGTATGACCTGGGAATAGCTGTGGGCAGGGTAAGTGTCATTGTATTGTACAGTACTTCCTATCCATGGTTGTTCGCATGAGTCTCATGGAGCGATCTGCCCAATTCGCTACCGTAAATGGGGTCTAATCCTTCCCTACTATATCCAAAACAAAACAAAAAGTTTGGGCTATACTTGCACTTTAATAAAACTATTGTATATAAGCACAGAAAACCTTACCGCTCCATCCAGCATTGGTCTCCGTCCCCTGGGCAGTGGTGTATTTTGGTTTTGTGCTGCCCTAGGCAAGACTAAACTCCAGCACCCCCCTCAATCTAAATTTTCCCCACCCCATCCTGTTTAGGACATTTTGCGCAACCTGTAAGTCACTGGATACAGCTCACACGTGGTCTCAGGGGAGCTTTGCATGTACGGGGTCTCAGGAGAGCTGTGCAGTGTTTATGGTGGGCTGTGTGGGGTCTCAGGAGGACTGTCCAAAGTCCCTTTCACTGCATATGTGTGCTGCTCCTCTTACCTGCAGCCCGAAGTGCCATTAGTACCAACAGGATACATTGCAGTCTCCCAGCCTGCTTCTGGGACATCAGATCAGCAGATCACATGCTATGGTCAGCCCCAAGCCACCTGCTGCTTCTCCTCCACCTCCTGTACAAAGCCAGCCGGACCGCATCTCACTGGGGCCTTCCCTCCATCGGGCAGCTCTCTAATTAGACATCCACTCTAAGGGCCTTGCGGCCGCCTAGTTTACCTTGTTGGGCAGCCTCCGCTGCCTGATTCTGTGCCGCCCGGCCTCGGCCCACCGGGCAAGTCCAGCCCTGTCCGCCTCATTGGTTTGGGGTGTGGTTCCATTGTCCTATTTTGTTTCTGGTGTCCTGATACAGTACCATGAGTGAGCGTTGTCACCCTAGGGCGGGAAGTGTGTTATTAACAGGATCACCATGAAAATAAAGGAAAAGAAGACTGGAAAAAGAAAACTAACGCAGCCACCACATTTAAAGGAGAACTATGAGGTGAGTGAAAATCACTCTTCCTCATAGTTCAAGCCGACGTGTGACAATGAAACTGTCACACGTCGGCTCAATAAATCGGGCAATGAGCGAACACATACCGTCGCTCGCTCACTTCTCGCTCATCTCCCTGCAGAGAGCCGTGACTGAAAGTCACCGCTCCTCGCTGGGATTCCCCCCTCCCCGGTCCGATTTCTCCCGCGCTGACTGGAGTAACGGACCGGGGAGGGGGCGGGCACAGCTGGCTCTGCCTCTAGATAGGCAGAGCCAGCTGTCACTCACACAGCTGGGTGGATCTCGACAGTAATGTGGGGATCCGTCCCGGCTGTGGCGGTCTCAGTATACCGCGAGCTGTAGCTAGTATATGTCCCCCGGTGACACTTAAGAGAACTATGGGGAAAAACACTGACCTCATAGTTCTCTTTTAAGGACCTGCAAGCTGCAATATAAATTTTTGTTTTGGGGTTTAGATACACTTTAAAGAAAATCTGACCCTGGCTATATCTAATGATAACCTATGACATTGAGGGACATTAGATGACGTCTTGCATTCCATTCTCCACAATTCACTTATTTCTTTGATAAATATGAAGTTCGCTTTTTAAAGAAGATTTCCAGAAAACATATTCTAGGCAGATACCTTTCTGGAACCAGGGAAGATAATAAGGACATGATACACTTGTGATAGCCCCGGGTGTTCCGTCTGGCCAGCAGGCATACATGTCAAAAGTGCGGTTGCAGTGCAGCCCTATGAAAGAAAGACAAAGAAGAAAGATGGAGTGAGAGGATCCTTCATCACATGTAAACTGAATGATGAGCATTACAAGAACCATGACCATCACTTGCTGCTATGTCACATGGAGGATTCCAAGAACAGTGGAAGGCTGCATACTTATGAGGCAGATGCTGGGTTGGTTTAAGGTATATCGAAAGCCAAAACTTTGTTCTTAATTTGGATAAAGTAGGAAATGGTTGAAACAGATGCAGATTTCCCCTCACTTCCTGTAGATTTAACAGGAAGGGAGAGGGAATCTCTCCAGAATAAGGTAAATCCAATTTTTGACCTGGGCTGGAGGAATCCCCAGGAGCCTGTTTGTCAATACTCCATAAAAACTACAGCTGGCGCCTAATTTTTTAGGTTTTCTACACTTGTTGTGAATGAAGCTGGCTCCTAAAAAAATCCTGCTGACTCCTGGATTAGACATACAGGCTCCTGGATTGGAAGGACTTGGTCCTGAATTCCATATTCATTTGTCCACCCCTGTCTTCACAACAAGTGTCCCCATTGGAAGATTTCCCAGCTATTCCTATTCTGGTGCCAATTCTAAATTTTGGGCTTCCCATCACTTTCAGTCTCGTTGACAATGGTCACCAGGACGAGTCAATTTTTAAACGGTGGTGTCTGCACGTGCTTCAGAAGGAACTGTTCAAAATTTGAGCCATTTGTGGTCAGCATCAGGCAAACAGGGTTAAATTCAGTGCTGGCTGGGATAACCCAGAAGCTCTAAGGGCAATACATCTACACCACTAGGACAGCTAGATACATTCTCCTTACTGTACAGCCTACAAATGGAGTCTGTGACTAGAGACAACCAACGATCCTGAAGTCTCCTACTGTGCGTCTGACATCTTTCTACCCTTCTTGATTAGAAATATCACAGGGGCTCAGGCTCAGGGCGAGTGTCAACAACAACCTCTGCAATCCTTAATGATATACAGTACTAAATTTGTGTTATTGGTACATGCACACATATTTTCTAAACTTAATATGCCTCAACAGCCCCCCTAATTGGGACCCCTCCACCCCACAGTCCCCATAGCAGCAAGTGAGCTGCTTTGGCTATTGTTTAGCCACTATATACAGCTGAAGCCACACAAAGCTTAATCACACAAAAAAACCAATCTATAATTATCCTTCAAGGGCACACGGCTACCGGCTGAGATGTGAACGCTACATATTCTGTCCCTATAATCATATATATATATATATATAT